TCACTAAAGAGGGATGGAGTGTCGGGTTCTGCGGGCTTGAGGACGCTTAAGGTTCAGGGCTTCAGGGCTTTCTGAACGAACCCCAACTGCTCCGAGCCACCATGCCTCGGCCCAACAAACCCCTAAGACCCCAAGACCTTCAAGACTTCAGCTCTCAACAAAACATTCAGGCCTTCCGCCCCAAATCCATTCAGGGCTTCAGGGTTTCGGTCGAATTTCATGATGTGTTTGTCCAGAGGGTCATGAGTGTCATATCCTTGGCGGCGCTTTTGTCTTTTTGTCGGCGTTTTGGGTAGTTGTCGGCTGTTCTGGGATTTGGTGGTGAAAATAATTGCCGGTATCGTTGGCGGCGAAAATAAACGCCGGAGGATTGTATAGGTATATGCATATGCATATACATATATATATATATACACATACAACGGAAGTAGGTACTTGCCGGGCCAGCTATTCGATTTTCTTGGGCCTCTTTCATGGAACCCTCTAAAGCCCTTGTAGAACCGTGAAAACCCTTTGAAATGCCGTGGCAAAAAATGTATATCTTGTGCCGCACTATGTGAAGACCGCAGCCCTCTGCTGAAATCGCCAAAACTAAAACCCTACGAAATCCTAGAACACCGGTAACTATGCCACAATTAAGCCGCAAACCTCACGTTGCCAGACAAACCGGAGCGTAAAGCCCCAAACCACAACACAGGCTCAAGGTGTCCACAGCCTTCCAGGGTCATCTCCAACTCTGTCAGCATGCCAGCCATACCTGGCTCAAAACGGCCTAGGGCCAAGACAAGGTGCTGGGGGACTGTCTGTCTCCTAGACTTCGAAGTAACCAGTGAGAAAAAAGGGTTTAGGGTTTCATGGTTTAGGGTTTAGGGTATAGACTTTAATTTCAGAATGGTTCCCTTAAAGAACAGGTCCCAACAAAAAGTATTCAAGTATGGTACTCCAGAACCCAGTCTCTGGCTGCCGCACAAGCTAGGATTCAGAGAGCCCGGGCCTCGATCAAGGCTTCAGGGCTTCATGGTTTTAGGGTTTAAGGGTTTAAGGGTTCATGGTTTTAGGATTTAGGGTTTAGGGTTTATAGGGTTTAAGGTTTAGGGTTTAGGGTTTGGGGTTTAAAGGTTCAGGGTCTTCCGGGGTTTGGGGCCTATAGAGTTCCGGAACGCTTTATCGTGGCTTCAGGGTGTAGAGGTGTTTGGTGCGGAGGCTTTTAGTTTCAAGGTCTTGGGATTTGAATCATGATCATGGGTTTGGGAAGTGCAGGTGGAGAGGAGCGTGCGAAGTCAGGAAGCTTTCGTGCAGAGACGGGGCGAACGGGGCCTAGGCTAACTGCTCGAAGCTTCGGGACACCGCTGCAGCAGCTCAAATGACAGTTACGTCCGAATGGAAGAAGCTTCCGTGTGGAATGGACATTGCGCATGGCTGCAACGGACGTCAGCCTAAGCCGTAAGCCCTCCTGCCTGTCTTCGGCTTGCCAGTGACCTTCTCGAACAGGGTCCTGGACATGCTAGAGAAGAACGACAAGATGATCCGAATTTTGTGATATGGCAGCAGCAAGCATCACAAAGCTTGTCATTAGCCCGGGATTACGGTTTAGGCTTTAGGGACCTTCCGACATCGTGGACTTGAGCAGGCAGCAAGCTTAAGGTGCACTGTCATGTGGCTTGGACAGAAACGTGACTTGACAAGACTGCTCAATGTTCCCTGCACCCCAACCTAAATAAAACCTTAAACTCCAAACCCCCGAACCAATCATAAGCCCTAAACCGCTTGCCGGTTACTGGGCACCATTGCTCATTACCACGTTGAAGATCGTCTGTTACACCACGGGCATGCTATGGTTCTGTGATTCATGAATTTTGGTATTCAAGGCTTCGGGTTTGGAGTTTAGGGTTTAGGGTTTAGGGTTTAGGGTTTAGGGTTTAGGGTTCAAGGCTTCGGCTTTGGAGCTTAGGGTTTTCTGTTTCAGCCTCTGGCAAAACTGAAGGCCCAAAAATGCCTGAGTGGAACCCAGACCCAGCACAGATCCTAAACCTGTAACCCTGCACCCTAAACCGCTACTCTGTACCTTAACCTACCAAAACCCACTTTTTTGTAGGCTCTTGTTCTAAACCCTAATATGGGATTTATAGGGACCCGACAAAAAAGTAGGTTCTGGTGGGTTAAGGTACATTTATCCATCGGGTGAATGCCAGACCAGACGGCTCTAAGCATACCTATAACCTCCATTGTAGTTCCTTTTTCTCTGGTTTAACCAGCTATATATGTAGAATCCTGTAAAGTAACCCCAAACAGGAACTACGAAGGAGACTACAGGTACTATCTACTGCGGGCTTTCAAGTCTGTGATCGGGGGAATTTTGGAAGCGGCAGTGAGAATCCAAGTCTGTAATCTTTACGTTGCAATTATACAGGAACGCATCCAAACGTTTCTTGCAAGAAAGCAGCTTGATGTTCAGCCAGCGAAGAAAGTCTGCCGGTACCGCTTCCTCTGTTGCTGGCTCATAGTACGGTATACTAAAGGGTTTGGGAAGCTTAAGCATTCATTGGATTTGCAGCTTCCGTTCGTTTGGATCCCTCAACCCGATACCTCGGCCCTTGAACCACGATGTGTCTGTATGACTTTCAAGCACTTCGGGTGTGGTCGTCATACTGAAGTTGCATGATGGTACACCTAAAGGCTTCAAGGTGATCATCGCAGAATTTCGGAAACAAAAAGACATGCTGAGTAGGGGATGGTACCCAAAACCCTAAACCCTAAACCCTAACCCAGGCGCACTGAAACTCCGAAGTGCGCAAGCCCTGAACTCCCACGCGCTGACCTCTTAATCTGAAACCCGAACTATCACAAGAGGGTCGCTAAGTCGAAGTGCTTCTCTAGTAGGGCAGCGGGTCACGGAGCATAATTTTGCAGCTCGAAGCTGTCATGAATCGTCTGGGTCTAGAGTTTAGACTAGGGTTTAGGGTTTAGGGTTTAGGCATAAGCTCAAATAAGATGCAGCTTTTAGCGCATAGGAGGTTTAGGGTTTCGGAGCTACGATCCGGTCTTCGCGTTCCAGGCTTCTGGGGTGCTCAGGGCTTAGGACCTCGGGATATCTCGGCCGAAGGGGGCTGTCCTATATTAGCTACCTGCAGCCTGCCTGTCCGACCTTTATTTGGACTTCGGGGTTTCTTAGACTGAAACCAGTTTTTTCTCTAATAACTAGGATTTATGTAAAAAACCAGGTTTTTCAATATTTGGGGTTTTGGGGTGTGAGACTGACTTAGCCTCTCTAGTTGATTATCCCACTGCCTTGCACACCTCTGGACCCTCACAACCTTGAAAAGACCCGGTGAAACCCCTCCCCAACCCACCTTCTCCAAGATCAAGCTGCACGCTGTGTCGAGGTAACACAAGTAATTCACAGGTGAGCAGGTTCCAAGCACCCCATGATAGAGTCTGATGAGGATTGTAAAGCTGTATTGGTTTTACTAAGTAGCCCACATGTATAGTATAGTTCACATATCTAAGCTCTCACCCGAAACTGCAATGCATGTGCCGACTGCTGGCATCGATGAAGCGGCGGCTTCATCCTGAGCCTCGCTTGCAAGGGTCCTTACATAAAGAAGCGAGCAGTCACACATACCCTGAATATAAGAAGTATTCCGTATTCCTGATAACACTGTTTCGAAACTAGCTTTGCTCAGGATGTAAAGCCCTGTACATCGCCAAAAGTGCTCTATCAAGCACCCTTTGATGGATCAATCGAGGGTTGACCCTTCTTGAAAGTCTAGCAGGCTTTCCTATGTAGTCCTCTTGCATCTGCACCGATTCAGCAACTGGGTTGATTATCCACAGCGCCTTGGCACTGTCCTCTACCATACGTGTTGCTATGTGGTCCATGAAGTGGACTTTCGGAATCATCGTGAAACGTAGCTTGTGGTTCACGTAGCCAAGCATGCAGAAATGTGCACATCTGGCATAACACGCCAAAAAAGATTTGAAACACTTCCCCAGACGCTTCCCATGGTCAGATCTCAGCCAAAAGCCGCGCGAATAGAGCTCGGACAGAGCCGCATTCATGATCTTGATCGCTTTGGCCTCGTATGGCAGCCAATAAACTACCGAAGCATCATAATGTATTGGAGACATACACTACGGGTGTTTCGAGCAAGAGTTATGTGCATATACATGTGTGAAAAAACAAAGCAGCGATTTGTGAAAACTCGCCAAAACAACGAAATACACACAAGCAACAATCTCCCTGTGGAGTGGGTTCACGGCAGTACTGTCCACACCCAAGAAAGTGCAAAGAAACTCGAGGTAGTACATCAACGTTGCACTGATGGCTCCTTTGTTCCAATGACCAGCAGGGAAGTTGGAACCACTGTATCCCAACGTATCCTTGTTGATGTCAATGGCATGGGCTGCGAACTTGTGGCTCCTGCAGTAGGCCTTCCAATCATCATTGATCCACTCTAGCCTCTTGTCGATGCTGCTACCCGGAATGAGTGTTTCCTGGAACACCAGCAACACGCTGGGCACGAAAACCTTTGCTAGCCCATAGTGCCAGCAATGCCATAGATCCAGGCAAAAAAATGCCGCCTCTTCACCAGGAGCATTTCGGGGAACTCCTTCCAGGATTGGGGGCATTTGCTGCCACGGGTACTCCTGGTGCATGGATGCATGCCACCTGGCACGTGAAGACACATCTTCAAACGGAACATTCCCCGCTGGGTCCTCGAACTCACGTCCAGCTTGGCAGAGATGGCAAATGCCAACAGCCAACTGCTTCGACTGGCCCGCCCGAGGCATGCGAGTGTAGTCCCGTGTAAAGGATCCAAGCTTGGACAAAGCCAAAAGATCACCTTTGGTGCCACAATGTACGATCCACACCCGCCTCTGTCCGCGACTGTCAGTGCCACCCACATTGTAGAGAGTTTGCAGGTCTGCCGCATACTCTTTCATCATTCCCGGGATAGCCTGAGGTTCATCATCTGATACGGATTTGAGAAGGCTCGCATGGATAAAGTGAGTACTCCACGTGTTGCCGATGAAATTCATATTCATCTCAGAATCTTCCAAGGGGATGTCCTGCCCATCCACCATGTGATCGTCGGCTTGCGCCCTGTGCTGTGGTTGGGTTCCCAAACCCAAACATCCATGGGTTGAGAAAACAAGTAACGGTCGTTTCTTGTATGTTCTCCCCTCGTCCGTGTGGGTATACACCGGTATCGCCCTGGACAGGTCGATGTCTGAGTGGTTCCACAGATCATGTTGTGGAAACAGGGCTCGATAACGTGCCCAAAACTCCACCAAAACCTCCCCCATGTAAAGTTCATCCTGAATGCCCGTGAGCTTGTGCAGGAGGTTGTGATCCAAAAGGTAGGTCACCCAGCTTGAAAGTTTGATGAAAGGGAAACTTTTCAACACAGGGGCATTCCCTAGATCCAGCCGATCAATTGTCACATTGACTGCGAGACCATGCTGCCGAAAGATGCGGTGCGCTCCCGACTCCGCATCCTTAGACCTCACTGCTGCAAATTGAAGCAAGGCACTTGATTGGCTGTTGGGGTTGTCCTTGACTGCAGCCTGCGCCACCTTCAGCGTGTGCTTGCAAACCGCCTCGGATCGTGTTTATGTGTGTATGTGATCGAGTACATCATGATCACATGTACGAAGACTTGCAAATGGGCTCGAAACGACTGTAATCGCGATGCTAGCAAACAACACTGCGATGACAGCCACAGGGAGGTCCAACTCTTTTTGTCTTCGGAACATTTTGTCGAGCTTCCATGCGTGCAAGCATGCATACCTTGCATTAATTGAGGGGTCTTGCTAATTACCCGAGCACAGCACTTCGAGTTCACCCGTCGAGCAAAAAGACAGTATCGATTCAGTCGAAAACCCAGACTTGTGTATAAACGGTTGCTATAGTAGATAAATAAACAGATAACGAACCTACATAAAGAAATGAATGTATATCCATCTATGCAAACTAAGAAAGACAACCTACAAGGTCTCGAGGAACTGTGTCTGTAATCTGTGTATATATAGACGTATATACATATACAAATAAAACATATACAATATATATATATATATACATATATATATATGTATATAGGTATATAGATCTATCACTATATGTATATATATACACATATACATACATATTTTCCAAACACATAACAGGGAACCTATATAAAGACATAGGTTCAGGCCACTTTAGTGTTCTTACATAATATCATTAAGATAATCGGTAGGACTAGCTCGGAGATTAGGTCAGCCTACCCATTTACCCTGATCCGCTCGGCCACCGGTAATGTAAACATAATACGGTGGTTCTCGAGCAAAGCGTTGGTTGAGAGCACCTTCACCCCCACTATCAGCTTCATTCTTGCATCCAGCAAGGTGTTGGAAATGGGATATCAGTGCAGCTTCTAGCATATGCACCAGGCCAACATCATCTGCTTCGTGGATTATCCACATCGCAGTAAAGCTCTTTTGTAGATAATCCACAAATCTAATGCAAGGGTTCGCTGTAACACCGATCTTGAAGCAACACAAGGACACACCATGGTTCTCGCGAAAACATTGCGCTTGCAGCCTGGCATGCAGCAAGACTTTGCCACAATTTGGACTACTTTGCTTCACTCGGGATCGCATTCTTCGGTCACGTAAACCTAGAGGTCTCAAAGCTTCCCACGGAATGTAAAAAGGGTCGGCTTCACCCACGTCGCGGAGGGTTTTAACTGCCACAGCCAGAGGTACCTGAAGTCGTGCAGGGTCATAAAGGGTCAGCGAGTCAGCGAGTTCACTTATGTGACATGCCACATAACGGGATCTGTGCGGGCCGAGCTTCTCTTGGGGCGGCACTGGGCTGCTGTCTCTCTATAGGCTTCTTAACCGATGCTATAGGCGGACTGTCCTCCTCTACATCATTGCGATCTGCAGAATCTGTAGGTCCACAGGATTTCCGGGCCAGGGGTGTCCTCCATGGTGAGGTTGCATAAGCAAGTATTATACAGATGGATCATCAGCGACTGGACAACGGCACGGACAAGCAAGCTATCATTGCCCAGTAACTTTGGCGACTTTGGGCTAGGCAGAGTGAGAGTCGAGTCGACAGCACATCGTTTCTTTCCAGTAATCCCACAATCGTAGGTGAGCAAGTCAAGGAAATCATTGATGTCACTGTCCACAACCATGGCAGACTCTCATGCATGTTCTACACACAACACATTCTCTTTTACAAGCTAATTATATAGCTATGATAGGAGTTAGGGGGCTTATATTTATATATATATATATACATATACAGATATAGGTTTATATGCTTGGATACAGGAATTGGGGCCCATCTAAAGATCTTTGAAGAGAGGGTGCAAAGCACCTTAATCTACCTATGTGTTTGTTTTTATACATATGTGTATATATATATATACATATGCATGGGTAAATAAATAAATAAATAAATATATATATATATATGTATATGTATATGTAGATATCTGTATATATATGTAGGGTTATAGTTCTATGTAAATATATTTCATTATATACATATATTTATATATAAGGGCTAATGGGCTAAGAAATGTATGCAAAGCTTTCGTATGGCAAAGTGTTGATGCTTTGAACTCCATGTACGAAAACTGTACAGCAGCTTGTGAACTTGATATGGCATACCAAGAGCGAATCAACGTTGCTGAGCCGTTGAACTGAAAATTGGCATGCCCAGAGCAGATAAACTTGGTCTGAAGTCATCCATAGCCGGCTTAGTGCAGCCAAGGCACACCACTGCCAACCATGCTGGCCAGCTCGTTGAGGAGATGACCGGCTGTGTCGTCCCCTGGCTCGCACTGTGTGAAAACACACAGATGTACACACACACACACACACTCATATATGTGGCATGCACATTACGGCACATGCAGAAGCTCATCCCACACTTTTGCCGGGATCCAGATTCCGACGACGGATTAGGCTTCCAAGAGCCGTCTGCGCACTTGATCAGCAGCTGCGTGGCACTTTGTGCCAAATGCACCTACGAGCCATAAAGCTCCACTTCCCCATGAAGCCTTCAGAAGCTCCGGCACACTAAAACTAATTAAGACATCATATATCGAACCTCGCAAAAGCAACAGGGTGTCCCATTGCACGAGGTCGGTGCCAGTCTGCTCATACCATATGGCATGCAACGATATGAGCTGTACCCCGAAGCGGGTTGCCACTAGCTCTCCTTCTCCTCAGCCGCCTTTGTCAATGCTTTCAGAAGTGTCCTTAGAGAGCCCAGCAGAAACAAGTCGACTTTCTAGACATGTGGTATTATAAGTGTAGGGTTGTAGTTGTAAAACATATACATATATATACCTGCCCCATTGAGTTCATGCAACCGAGCAGCCGAGCAGTGTTCTCCTGTCCCGCGACTTTGCTGCACCTTATACATGGAGAGGTGGAGCGATATCCCACTAATACATGAGTGTATCTACATATGGTCGTGGGCAAGACACGCAAGTCGAGATAGCCTCACTTGCTCTTTCATCTTGGCCAGCAACCTGATTCACGTAGCTAACGTGCCTAGTGTAGGGGGGGGGGGGTCTTGAGAAAATACACACACTGCCACAATGCATTCGATACAGCACAACTGAGTAGCGATGTTGCAGTATCATCGCTACAGTTCTTGTCGGCCAGCTCTTGAGAATTGACCTTTTGAGCCTCCACATTCTCATGCTCTGCATTCAGGCATGCGATAGCCTCTTCCAGGCCACGGATAGACCTTTGACACAAGCAGAAGCAGTCACTTGCAGCCACCCCAACCCCCAAGTGCACCCCTAGCAACAAACGTGTAGCGATTTACACCTAAATGAGCTCCTGACTGAGCCAGGCGTTTCTGCTCCGACTTCTTGCTGCCTTCCTCGACAAAGCCTTCCAGTTCGGCAAGCACCTCCGCGAGCTTGGCAGCCTTGGACAGCAAGGAGTCCCCGAACTTGCCAAAGCTTTTGTGCTCCTGCAGGCATGCAAGGCCCTGTTGTTTTGCATTCCGTATCTAGTTCACATATGCATATACTGTGTGCATGCATAAAGACATGCATACGTAGAACTTCACAGTCACATGCAGTCCTCTTGGTAAGAGGTGAGTTTCTTGAGACGCTTCTCTTCCTCATCCTCAGACTCCTCATGATCCGTTGGCGGGTCTCTGATGTTTGTCTTGACAGCCGTGAGCTTCCGCTGGGCTGGGTTGCTGCTGACCTCAATTGCTTGGATCGGCTGAGCATCTCTAAAGGGCAGGGGCCGTACATTAATCGCGAAAACACACACACACACACACACATACACACAAGTTCTTGATGGAATGCATCTTACAGCAAGGAGCCGTATCAGTCTCCCTTTCCACCTCCGCTTCCTCTTCCACATCAGCATCACTATCCAAGTCTTCATACTCCACGTGGTACTTCTTCGAGTTCTTCTGGTACTTGTCCTTCCTGAGCCACACGGGTTCCACACGGGACATGCAGGGAACAGACATGTCACTCATGTCGGCCGAAGTTGCTTCACCAAGTGCTCGCGGCCGGGCTTGGAACAGTACTTCACAACATCCGCGATGTACTTCCTTTGGAAAGACTTGTTTGGGGATGGTGAGACGACATGTTTCATTCTACCTTGTTAGTTATGTAGTCTACAGAAATACAATTCTAGTTGTATATATGCATAGATTTCAGCGAACTAGATGGCTGGGTATCCACAAAGGCATTGGGTGAGTTAGCGATCTAGATAGACAGTACGTACAACTACTGCCTGGGTTAGATACTGTGTTGCTGTGTTGGAAAGCGAGTGAACAGTGAAGGCATTAAATGATCAATCTGCAAACGAAAAATACATACATGCTAAGCTCTCCAGTAAAGATTTAAACCAGAAAACCAGAACATTGCACACACACCCCGCGTGGCTGAGGAAGCAGCTCCTGCCCAGCCACACATGTACATGTGAGCACGAGACCGACCGGCTATTGCGCGCTTCTTGGCTGGAGCATGGGGGATAGTGGCAGGACTGGTTTCAATCGGATTATCCACTGGCTGGCGTGTGATCCCCACTCTCACTGTCACTCTGACACACATGCATACCCACACATGCATACCCTCCCTCTCTCTCTATCTCTCTCTCTCTCTCTCTCTCTGTTTGTCTCCTTTGTGGCCGAGAACATTACCGAGCACAGACTTCAGGTATCTAGCCCGGTCTTTCTTGCACTGTCAATCCAATCTCTCTCCCTCTCTCTCTCTCTATATATATATATACATAGGTTGCAGACACTCTATTCCCATCGACATGTCAATGTATAAATGTAGAAATATATATATATATACACTTATCTATTTATGTATTTATAAACCTTTGTGTATATATATATATATACACATGTATATGCATATGTATGTGTATATGCATATATGTATGTGCACACCCAGGCATCCACCCCATCCAACCCAACCCAACCCAACCCAACCCAACCCAACCCAGCCCATTAACCCGACCCCTCCCTTTCCAATCCAGCCCATCCCGCCCATTCATAGACTCCTCCTCTTACCTGCCTTAAATATTTACATGTGTGCATATATATATACCTCTTTATATACCTCTCTCTCTCTCTCTCTCTCTCGCTCTCTTGCTATTTACCTATATCTATCTACCTATCTATCTATCTACCTATCTATCTATCTATCTATCTATCTATCTATCTATGTGTCTATATGTGTATATGAACACACTCACATATATTGCTGTATCTGCATGACAAACAATATACATATATATATATATATACAAACAGACATACACACAAGTACACAGATAGGTAATAAGTCGGTAGAGAGATACATAATATATATATATATATATATATTATATATATATATATATTTATATATCTATATCTATATATATATATATATATATATATATATTTATTTATTTATTTATATAAACGCGAGAGGGAGAGAGAGCGAGAGGGAGAGAGAGGGAGAGAGACAAAGAGACAGAGATGCATACAGAGACAGAGAGAGAGAGAGAGAGAGAGAGAGAGAGAGAGAGAGAAGAGAGAGAGATAGACGATAGAGAGGCACATGGAATGCATGGCAAAGACCCATGTTATGGCTAACCGCGAGAGAGAGGGAGGGAGAGAAAGAGAGAGAGAGAGAGAGAGAGAGAGAGAGCGAGAGAGAACATGTGAGTGAGAGTGACCATCAAAGAGTTTCGGAGTGAGAGATTGGGAGGGTGAGAGCTTGAGAGCAGCTGAGAAGCTTGCTCCACAGAAGCTTCTTATTCGTCGCCATTTGCTCCGGAGTGAACCATCCGCGCCTCTTGCGGCGAGCCTTCGTCTTCTTTTTTGTCAAAGTCTTCTCGACTGTCTTCAAGAAGAGCTCCTGCGCACAAGAAGAGTACAGTTGGGAGGCTGTCACAAACAAAACCTACAGTGTTGGATTTCATGCAGCATGCTGTTCTTTTGTTCAACCCCGGGTCAGGATCCCAGGAGCACTCTTGCTCCAGGAATTCCAACAGGTCATCTCGCTCTGTCCCACCACGCATGAAAGCTTCGTGGACGGCGACGGGGACCTTGAGCTTTCCACTGGGCTTGCGTTCGCAAAGGCGGCGTAGCCGGTTCTCCCGGCAAGCCTGCTGGGGCAATTTCAAATCCCAGAAAGAAGAGCCAACAGAAAAGCATGTGTGCACATTCTTCAAAAAGTTTAGAGGCCCCGAAAGCCTTGCTGGCATTCCCCATATCATGGCTTTTCGAGATCTTCCCACCGCGGCCTCCCCGGGAGGAATCTTCATCTCCACTGCTGAGAACGGCATCCTCATCACCTGGGGCCACGTCCTTCTTCCCTGTCTGCAAACTTTTGGCTTTCTTGGGTGAAGCTTTTTTGGGGCTCCTGGGTTTCTTGGGGCTCTTGGCTTTCTTGGGGCTCTTGGCTTTCTTGGGGCTCTTGGCTTTCTTGGGGCTGTCGGCTTTCTTGAGGCTGTGGGCTTTCTTGGGCGTAGTCTCTGCCGGGCTGGCGGCTTTCTTCGGAGAGCCCTTGGGCTTGCGGCTGGCTGGGGGAGGGGATGCGGCTCTTTCTTCTGGCTCTTCATCTTCAGCTTCTTCCTCCTCCACGTCAGACATCTTGCTGAGCTGTCGCTTCAAATCTCTGTTCGCCTGGCAGACAATCTACATGCAGCTGAATCTTTCAGAATAAGAGAGTCGCTGCCTGTCGCGTTCGCAGAAGATTGCCCCCCCCTTTCTTTATCCCACACAAAAACTCCCTCATATTCTCTGTACACACATATATATACAACTATATATATATATATACACTTAAGCATGCGAAGTTTTACCTGTGCATGTAAAACATAAATATGTATATATACACATACATATATACATGTCTATATAAGCATATCTATATATATATATATATGTAACGTATCAATGTATATATATATATATATATGTATGATCTATATATATATATATATTCATATTACATACATATACATATATGTATATATCATACATATTTATATGTATAGATAGATAGATAGATAGATAGATAGATAGATAGGATATGATAGGATATGATAGGGTAGGATAGGATAGGATTAGGATAGGATATTAAATGTTTTGCACACATAAATATACGGTTTACATGTGTACTTATTATATATATATATATACACATACACATTGCATACGGAAAGAAAGAGCGAAAGATAGACACAGACCGATTCTGAGGTGGAGAGATAGGGAAACACAAAAGGCAGGCAAAGAAATAGAGAGAGAGAGAGAGATAAACAGGGAGTGCTCGAGAAGTATAGAGAGGGAGAGCAGAGAGAACCAAAGCGAGAGGGCAAGAGGAGACGAGAGAGAGGGAGGCACAGAGAGCGAAGCAACACCAAATGAAGCACCCACCTTTGTATTCGAATATATCCACACATTTTCCAGTGCACAGAACGGGAATTAGAGAGATACATATACAGACTAGACAGAGCGTGTGGTAGTGAGGGGTGGGCCGGAAGCTTCCATGAACTCGAGCGCAAACAAGCATTTCTGGAAAGAACAAAACCCATGCATGAAAGAGAAAGAGAGAGAGAGAGAGAGAGATATATATATATATATGTATATATACATATATATATATATATACATATATAGAGAAGAAGAATAAAGTAATGCCAGCGACTGCACAAGTGAACATTAAAAGTTAATGAGGACACATGAGCCAAGGAGATGATAAGTTATCTCGTGCAAAGCACCTTGAGAAGCATCTTGATCTCCAGAGCCCTGGCATCTTCTAGGTCATCCGTGACCGCGGAGCGTGCACTTGCACGAGGGCCGGGGCTGTAGCGGTGCGTACGTCGTTCGTCCTCGTCGCTGTCAGGCGAGGCTCTGTGCAGCTTGGCTTCAGCTGGCGGCTGCTGCATCTTCTTTGGAGATTTCTTTGGTGCTGCGCTGGACTTGGCCGCTGTCGGCTTCGCAGGCTTGGAAGGCTTGTCGGGCGGGGTCACAGTCGGGACTGGCGGTGCTCGGTCCGCCTCGTATAACATGATCGTGGATAGTCTCCGCATATTAGATACTCACGCACACACAAACACGCACTTACGTTGTGATTCTTTAGACTCATGCAGCCATGTGTCTCGCTTCGGAGTCGTGAACTTCCCAGGCACTGTGGAGGCCTAGGCACATGTGTGCATTCGACTATATAGGTGAACCGATTTAGATTGATGCATGAGAAGCCAGCAGCACACGGACGATCACATGTGGCCAAAGCAGTGTAGCCGAGACACTTCCGAAATCGAGGAGCCCTTGCGCTTCAAAGTCTTGAGCTTCGCGAGCTTCTCCTCATGTTCCTTGCACAGTGATGATTGAAAGGATCCATGCATGTCTAGTATAGGAGATATATATTTAATATATATATATATATATATATATGTATATATATATATGTATATATAAGTCTTTTAGCATTAGATACGAACATAAAATACCACATGCCACTTCGAGTCAAGCCGACATGGAGCTATCATAATTAATCATGCTGAGTGTCGCGTATCTCATCCTCCAATGATCCCTCAGCATCAGAGTGCTCCTCCTTCTTGATAGCAGCGAGCTGTCGCTGCGCTTTCTCGAGTTCGGAGCAGCTCCATCGTTTCGAAGCCAAAGACCCGGTCCCTTTTCGCATTGTCCAAGGCACACTTGGAGCGGCAACCCATGTGCTACTGGCAGGCCACCACTTCTTGATAGAATCGGGTTGCAGATTCGTAGTTGCGACACAGTACGACTGTGTTGAGGGTACTACGATCTGCAAGGTTTTTTTGTCTGGAGTTTACGCTTTCTATACGTATTTTGGGCTTGGGGGCATACGTGGAAATACGGGGTCTGTACGTGGAAATACGGGGTTATTACGCGTGTACGTATTCGGGTGCGGGCGGTACGTATATTATACGTAGGGGTACGTAGTTTCTACGTATTCCTATTTTCTGCTTAGTATGTACGTAGACTATGTACAGACCTAAGAAAACAACAAAAAACGATTCATACGTATTTAAATAACATAAACCCATTATACGTATATTAGTATAAGTAGATAGGTTGAGGATACGAAAAGCTGGCCCTGCCCTTCTAGTCTGTATATATACGATACAGACCGGCCAGAACTCATCACGAGCAAAGGAAACCGTCCCTTAAGTGGAAACCAAAGCAACCCGGAACCAAGGATTTTTTTCGGGCCCCGCTTCCAGGGATCATGTCGTCTCTAATTAACTAATTGACAAAGTCAGCAGGATTCAGCCCTGCCTAATCGTCTTTGGAAGAACCCGTTTCCAACTCGGAGGAAGGTTCAGACTAAAATTGCCTTTCAGGTAAACCAAGACATCGTGCATTTCAGCTCGATCCCACAAGTCACCCCATTCGTACTTGTCATAAAGATCCTCAGCAGACTGTCTCCTCAGGCTCAATGGCACCTTCCATTTGAACGCCGTCTTGCACATAGACTTGTGCAGCTGGGCGATCCTGACCCCGAATCGACGGGGGTACGACCTTGGCAGCAACAAAGGATAGACTTTGAGATATGAGTTTGGATGCAGAGGCTATGTAGTGGGCAGACCCGGGATACCCTGGCAGAAAACACTTCATATGCACCATAGCACATACTTAGATCGGTGCAATGCCACACAGACGAATTGCTTGCCTGAGTTAAAACTAGGGGTGCGGCTGGCTTGACTTTAGTTTCTTGTTCCCGGTATAACATTTCTTGCCCTTCTTGTTCTTGAAGCGAGACGTCAGAATCTGCTTCGGTCTGGCATTCTTATCAAGTTTGCCGATCCAAAGGCCGGATATAGCCTTTGCGTTGGAGAAGGCAATCTGCGGTTTCGCAGATATAGCTCCATAGGCCGCCATAGACCAACTGACCCGAAAGACCTGCAGCTGCATCAAAGAAACAACAGCCCAAAATATGCACACAAGTACAGATATAGGAGCTTGATTGGTTTTGCAACAGACATTTTGTAGGGAGTCACATGCACCGGAAGGCCCCGTCGCTTTTTGCTTTATTCGGGAAAAGACAGAACGAAGACAGTCATCTAAATGTATGAAAGAACACGCCCAAATAAATTAGAGTGATGTAACAAAATCCAGGCACTCTTGCTGTAGTGGCGAATTTAGACAGTACCACAATACAGGTGATGTCTCTGGAATTTGGCGAAATCAACACAAAGCCTCACCTGTAGTTATCTAAGGTTTGCCTACGTGGCGCCCACCTCGCCGATCTGCCGGAAAGCTTCGACCAGATCTTGGTACCAGGGCATGTACGAGCCGGCTGGCTGCTCCAGCAACCAGGCACCATTCATAGCCGTGATGAGTAGGAGTAGGAGGCAGCACCTGGGTGGGTTGGTTGGCAAGACTAGATAAAGACTTGATTGGTGTGGCTTTCATATCATGCACAGAAGATGCAAATGAGGAGCCTCGAGCAAAGAAGGTTCCCTAGTCGCACAGATGGCATAGTTGTGTCCCCTTCTGGCCATAGGGCACACCGTTTGTGCACGGCAACATTCATCCCTGAAAAGGAACTGCAGACCGGGGCCAAAATTGCAAGAAACTCATCCGATTTCCCATTGAGAATCGTCGCAAGAGCTAGCCTCAGGATTGACAACTGCGCATGATGACTGCTTGGCAATACATCGACGAATCAGCCAAGGCTCGCCATGCCACTTGGGGTCGCCAGATCCATAGGGTTTTGTTTTCCAGGACACTCTTCCCCCAATCGAATATCTAAACTGGCTACCCGATGCCCTGCCGATCGCAACGACCGGGACACCATAGCATCACCACAGAAGAACTCGACAGCCGTGTAGTCCTTCAGTGGATTTGAGAAGACTATAGTAGGAAGAAACACGAGTTGATTTCAAGATTTTACAGATATCTATCTAGGATTCTAGAAACCAAGAAGCTACAGATATACCTGCGTCGGTGTAGATAGATAGATAGATAGATAGTATAATAGTTGGATAGATAGATAGATAGATAGATAGATAAAGAGATAAATGTGTATATATATACACATCTCATGTATACTTTTATGTATATATATATATATATACATATAGAGATCTTACGAAAAATCATTACATATCTGGAATGGGTGCCGAAGAACCCGAGGCCACATGCAGGACTATAGTCGGACTATAGATGGCATGCAGGGCTTGTTATTTTGGGGGCGGTGTCCTTTGTCAGGATTTTCGGGACGGTGTATGATGTGTATATTTGTGGCCTACAAAGACCGACTCAAGGGGTGGCATATCTATGAGCAGGCTTCTGGGAATTGAGATGGTTTGAGCACCTGACTTAGCAAAACGGTTACATGTGTTCCATCCACATAGCAAATATACTTTGTTGCACGGGCATAGTTTCGGGGAGTTTGGACCGGCAGGGTTCCGGAGAAACTCGGGGAATCCTTTCACAATGGTTCCTGCAGGCATGAAGAATTGAGTGGCTCGATGGTTTGAGATTGCACACACTTCCGGATTTTCAGGGTTTGCATGGCTTTGAGGCTTATCCGAAATTTTGGAGTTTCCATAGACAGGACAGACAGGATTCGGCATCTAGGGGTTTGCATATAGGGTTCCGGGCGCTTGGAGCTTGGGAACCTTTCTACCTTCGGGGCTGAGATCACTAAAGACCTAGAATCCTGTAGAGCTATGTATTTCCCTTCATAATTGTGTATGCAGCAAAGATCTAAACTCTATAATAAATGAACCAACCACCCCCGATCCTAAAACTGAGATCTTAGTTGGACCTACTCTTTTCACAGTCAGACCCTTTAGAACTATTCAAGCGAAGACTGTTCCGAGCAGCCGATATCTCAGATGATAGTATGTATCTGTTCATTATTTTTGGATCCACTATACAGGATGGTTCCAGGCACCTATCTATATACAGTTACCACATAAGCTCTTAAGTAATGAAATTCAAAATACCTGAACCCCGGCATCTTGTCTAAAACCTGCCACAAACCCGACAAGCAAGGTGGGCGAACGGCTCCGGAGGGCGCCCTGGATATACAGTCCTACGGTGTCGAGTTCGTTGGAGAATGCCGTAGGACATCTTGCGAGACTGCATTCTTAGGCCGAGCCCAAAACACAATATCAATCCCATCTAGTGGCAGCTAGTGAGAGCATTTCTAGGGTTTTTAGGGTTTATATAGGGTTTAGGGTTATCTGCAGAAAACACGGAATGCATCGTTGGTGTCAAGGGGCTTTTTCTATGGTTGCTTGTAAGTTATGGCAATTTGGGGAAATGGTCAAATGCTACCTAGCGACAGACTTTATAAGGCCCAGGCAGTGTATGATACCCCAAATCCCAACCCCAACACAGAACCTCTCAACTCGCGAACTGTATATTTAGCGATGGAAACAGCAGCTGGCCTCAGCAAAGGCTCTCACGTTCTCACTGAAGGTTAAGAAGATAACGGCAGTGATGAGCACCTTTGCTTGCAGGGGCTTGTGAGTCAACTAGTTGCTGGATCTTGCATCTACATGGGTGGTTGTCAAAATTATGGTCCTTTTTGGGGTACCCTAAATAATAGGTGCCGTATTATAATAAGGACCCAAAAAGGGACCCTAATTTTGACAACCACCCACATGTGTGCTTTGGGAACAGTATACTACCTGGCCTTGGGACATTGCTTGGCAATCAGTTTCTTCACCAACGGTCGAAGCTTCGTTTCACGGAGCGCCCATGAATCCATGTTGACAGAGCAGCACTGAGAATCTATGCATGCATGTGTATAATGCTTCGGATCACTCTACATTCTCTATGCAGCCACAAACTGGTCTGTCGTCAGCCAGGCAGCAAGCGGGTTGCTTAAGCTGGGGAGGGGTCGAGCTGTTTCAACAATACAGAGCTGAAGCCATACCAAGCTTGAGGAACGACGTGCACGACCCCTGCATCTAGCCCACCTGTACTGCACTCTCTCGCAAGCACAGCTCACAACTACAAGCCAAGGCGGGTCGGCCATCCTCGTCTTCAATGAGGCGCCTTCTCCAGCCATTTCCCCGCACCATGCTGACCTGGGACGAACGTATGGGTATGTTCTGATCTTGGGAATGTCAGCTGTTGTACCGGCATTGTACCGACTACAATGCAAGTTAATCCAAGCTCTTGCCGACACATGCACCGAGAACAAGAGTTTTTTCTCTGTGCCCACACACCCCGGATGGTGACACTCCTCGCCTGCAGGTAATCCTGCAGCTGAGCACAACAGCACTGCGTCCTCTCCAGCTGGCGGAATGTACAGCTGTCTAGTGAGTCTATAGTGTTGGCCAGGTAGGAGCCGAGAACATCTTCTAGCCTCGCCATTTAGATATATGTGTAATAATTTCATCGAGGACTCCATGCCGCGTGACATACTAGCATTGCAGAAATAAAGGGCACAGCGCTGTGCCTTGCAGCTGTTAAAAGTAGAATCATGCTACGTCGGGGCAGCCTAATGATCCAAACTAGGGCACACCAAGGCGACCTCAGGGTATGTGTGTGTGTGTCCCTAAATACATATATATGTATATATGTAGGGGTAAGCACGGTTTCCTGCTTAGGTACTCCGCATGTGTACAGTCACCAGTGTGGCAGAAGATCAAGAAGCCACGACAGGGATTCATACGAACAGCTTTCTAGATCCTACCCTACAACCGGTCCCTCACGAACAGTCTGGCAGCCTTCACTGCATGCTCAGGGAGGGTCGCCTCCGTGATGTCCTTGTCAGAAAAGAAGTAGGTACAGAAGTTCCAATATGGCTCCTCCGGCAGCGGGGCTATGTTTTCGTGTACAGATGGAGCTTTGGACGAATATGTTTCACATGGGGTTAAAATGTAGCCACACATACCTGTAGTACATCCTTGTGCATAACCATATAAACATATACATATATACATATAGACACATGCTATCGTCGTATACACATGTCTGCAGAATCGAAGACAGACGAATACACGCCACAGTGCTTGCACCTGCCCGATGATTCCCATGTACGAATGACCAAGACTGTCGAGAAGCATAGGTGCAGGTAGACTTTGTGTCAAAATATAAATCTATGTGTATATATATATATATATGTACACACATGTATGCATCCATTTGTCTGTCTGCCTGCTTGTGCACACACACACATACATATGTATTTATATGTGCATGCATATACTCATGTTTTAATGTATATGCACAGGGAAATGTGTATGGATTAGTATGTCTATACGTGTATAGATAGATATATATATATATATATACACGCACAAGTGTATCTTTACATGTACACGCATGTATATGTAAATGTTTGTATTGTGGCATGAATATCTACATGTATATAGATACATGTATGTATGTATGTATGTATGTATGTATGTATGTATGTATGTATGTGTATGTACATATATATATATATGTCTTTTTGTTAGCATATGTAAGCACATATATATATATATATATACATACATACACTTGCGGGTATACATATACATATGTATATAGAGGCATCTCTGTTTTTACATCTGTAGATGTGTACAAATATCAGTGTATGTATTGGTGTGGATGTATGTAGGTCTGCATGCATGTAAGTACATGCGTGTGTATATATATATATATATGTATGTGCATGCCACGGTAGATAACCATGATACATCTATATTTATATAAGCACACATATAGGTATGTACATATGTATATATAGACATATATATATATATATGTGTGTGTAGATGTATAGTGTGGATATATAGATATATAGATATAGTTACATATGTGTATATATATATATATCTAAGAGAGAGAAAGAGAGCGAGTGAGAGATAGATAGAGAGAGACATCAACAAATACAAGGAAGTCTGTCTCAACCCAGTGAAGGAACCATAAATCGCAACCCCATCACAGTTAAAGGCTATTAGCTTCACAGGCCCAGCACTCCTCCTGCCCGGTTTTGGCACCACTAGCGAGTTCCGGAAGCACCATGAGTTCGAAGCTCTTGCGGACCAACAACCATTTCGCTGCTGACAGGGGCGGGTTCGGCTTTCGGCGTCGGGCAAAGGTCTGGGTGGGCGCCACATAGTCATCCTCAGTCAGGGCCTTCACCATTGGGTCCTGAGGAACCTTCTCCTTGCGGGCCCTCTTCTTGGCAGGCTCAACCACCGAAGGCTCCTTCGCCTTTGCTTTGGTCACCTTCGGCACCTTGACTCCCGAACCCTTGGCAGGGCCTTGCTTCCGCTTCTTCTCGTGCACGGGCTCAGCAGTCGGTGCGTCCTGGGGCTCACCTTCAGGCTCCTCGTCGGAATGCTGCTCTGCCAGCTCCTTAGCAAGTTCATCCGGGAAAGTATCATGGAACTCATCCTCGGCATCGTCCTTAATCTTTGTTGCAATCTTGGCAGCTGGCTTCTTAAGAACGGCACGCTTCTTGGGAGCCGCTTTTGGCTCAGACTTGGGCGCAACCTTGCGCTTCTTTGGCTTGCTACTGCTAGCACGTCCACTCTCATCCCCCTTCACGCCCATGTCGCTGGCTTCCTTGTCCAT